TAGTGTCATGCAGAACATCAGTCAGAAGAAGGAATAAGGTAATATATTTAAGTTTTGAAAATTGAATGCAAGAAAATTTGATTGTTATAGAATTGCATCAAAGTTCGGCCACGATGAAACAGAAAAATAGAACGAGAATACGAGTGAGAAGAAGCAAAAGATGGGCCCGTGTAGATGCGTTTGCAACAGCCGCAGGCATCGTTCAGTCCCAGATACCAGCCAGGAAGGAGGCAGCCTGCTCCTCGGTGACCACAGTGATGGGCAGGAAGGGATTTTTGCTGGTTTGCAAGAATTTCTGTCCATAAAAGGTAGAAAGGCGTGGTAAATGTAGGATGTGCACTCCAGTTTCGGATATTAATGGAAGTTCGAAATAACAACAGAGTTTGCGTTCAATTCTTAAACTAGTAATGATTATAGTGACCTATTAAGGAACTGGAAACTCAAGCCCAAAGGACAATCGAGCGGAGCTTAGATGGAGAAATGGATTTCCACGGAAGAATAACACAATGCCTTGCACGTGAAAAGTCGGGTCCCGGACAAACCATGCCTTGAAACAGCCCTTTAAAGCAGGATGGGTTAAGGAGCATAGGGAGGTAAAAGGTAATTTGGTCGCCAACCTTAAATACCCCCAGGTCTTGTGGTTACTTTTACTTTTAGAGTAGTTTCGATTTTAGTTGATTCGTTTAGTTAGATACCAACAAAGTTAGATAAATATACGTTAATAACTACTATATACTAAACTAAACTAATTAAACGAAGTTTAACTAAACAAAACTAAGCCAAACTTAAAATAAAACTACACTAAAACTTAACTAATAAACTAAAACCTAAACTAAACTAATACCGCCGGTCCCGTACGACAGAAGTTTGGGGCGACCAACTTAACTTTCACCAGCATAGGGCTTTCTGAGCAGTGGTGATCCTGCATCCTCCCGAACAGGCTCCAAAGGCAGCCTCAAAACAGACGATAAAGTTGTAAAATGGAGTCAGCTACTGGCACCGAGGACAACAGACCGAACCTACTGAAACGGGCGGCCAAGAAGGCATTTTCCATTACCGAGCAGCAGGCATGCTGACTTACGTGGGCAATGCTGAAGGCGTTCCTCTTCTCCGCGTGGGAACAGTCCTTGCCGATGTAGACAAAGAGACCACTCTTGTCCTGAATCATGTAAACATCATCGGGCTTGATAGAGTTCTTGGGAGCACTGCCTTCGCAAACCATAGAAATTTGGATTTTCCCAGAGGCATCCGAGACCCTGCAGAAAGAGAGATAAGAAGGCGTGAGCGTGGTTCGGGTTTGTCGTCTGCGATTTGAGGTCAGTAAGTAGAAATATGTGCTTCACGATGGTATGGCGAAAAGTCGGGGGCACTCACTTGTACAGTGACTTAACTACATCGACCTTCTCGGCTTCAGGCTTCAGTGGTTTATCGGGGAGGGCTTTCCAGAACTCGTGCTATAAAGAAGTAGAAAATGGGGGAAGGGTGGAAGGTTAACGGTCACCATAGACACACGGGTTGTTTTGTGAAATAAACTGAAGACTGGACGGCGATGAGAGGACTCACATCCTTGTCAATGGATTTCTCTTCTAAGACGTGGGTGACGCAACGCCCATTGCGACTTGACTCCAGATCTTGCAGAAAAGCGGCCGCCTAAAAAGAAGCAATGGTTGTTTAAATTTCGAGAACATTAACCGAATTCTGCTGACCAATACTTCACGGCGTCTCAGTCATTGGAAGTAGCATTAATATCAACCAAACAAAAGTAATGGGGGGTGAAAATTGTCCCCACAAAAGGATAGTGTTGACAAACTGTAGAGGGAATAAGTCGTTATGGGCATTCTACAAGCTTCCAGTCATGAATGCCTTTGTGGTGGTGATTTGCAGCGGATACAACTCCAACACATCGGATAAAATTTGAGCTGTTTCAATGGCCAGGAACACGACGGGCACCACAGTTTAAGCGGCAATCAAACAAATTTGAGGTATTCCTGAATCTGTAATCCACCAGTATTTACGTACGCTGTCAATAGAATCTCTAAAGCAGTGACTCGCAAATGAAACCGGGAAGATTCCAGTACGACCCAGGGATATGTTAAGACAACACATAGGAGTGTCAGTTCATCACTTTTATTTACTGAGATGTATATATATATGAGAAATAAAAGTTTCATCTTCCTACGGTAATCCCATTATAAGGCACTAACATCAGTGTTCTAAGCATACATTTTTGCAAAGAATTGCACTGTCTCTTGTTCTTACCTCAAGCATACCTCAAATTATGAGGTAAGTCCAATAAGACAAAGGACTGGGAACAACCCCCCCTCTCCCAGCAATACGGGCGGCCTTGCACAAAACTTAGAGAAGGGTA